ACTTGTTTATACGTAGTAAGATCTCAACTGGTGAAGAGAGTCTAGTTGAGTTTGAGTTTTATGGTTTATATCATAGACTGATCTTAGACAACCATTAGAAAGTGAGAAACACTGAACAACTGGTTTGTTGCGGTATGAAAGTTTTTAATCGTACACATTCACAACCTTGCCGAGAATCCGAACTCCATGACCTTTAGATCTTAGGACATGCACTTAACTTTTAGACTGTTCAGTGGATAACATGTGAATTTCCCATTGCTTAAGTGTTCTATACAAGTAACAAAGTTGTCTCTGATGCCTCTTGGTTTCTTTTAGTTGTCTAAGGTTTGCATGTTATTCAAACTATAGAATGTGAACCGTCGCTCTCACCATTGTCTTTATATATATATATATATATATATATATATATATATATATAACATCATCAGTCTATACTTCAGAAGAAAGAAGGAAGTAATGAGAATTACTGATGGCAAATCATTTGTCTACAAAGAAGTCAGTGTGATTCCATCGGCTTGGAACAAATTATTGCTGACTTGTGAGAAAGCATTTTAGTAGATTACGTCTTTTCTTGAAGTATGTATACCAATGATGTTTTTATTTGAAAAGATGACTGAAAGGTTCATAATTATTAAACTTTTCAGCCCCGAAAATACAACACTCCATCAGTCCAATTTCCAGTATTCCAATATTGTTATTTAACATATTCATACCTGGTTCATTCAATGATCATTCGTAGTAGTCATCTTCTTAACTGCAATCGCTTTTATTTACTTTTTTATTTTTTAACCAGTCCAATAATGAGGATGAGATAGTTCTCACAGATGATGATGATGAGGACGATGATGATGATGAGGAATATATGAATGGCAATAAACGTTCAGACACTGGTATTGACCAACAACAACGTGATCATACACAAGATAAAGAGCAATTCACCCATAATGCATATGAAGATGATGATTGCATTGTAGTTAACTATCCTAAAAAGCCCAGTAGTTCATCATTTGTTTCATCGACTACAGCATTTATTACAGCAAGAAGACCGTTAAGACCACCAGAAATGTTAAATGAATCAACATCTAATAATGATTTGAAATCAGATATTTTAACTGAATTACCTACTCCAGCACCTGGTGAAGCGGTTATTGAATTGCTTTTCCGTTTACCCGATGGTAATCGTGAAGTTCATCGACTTCATCCTACTCTCAAATTACAGGTAAGTTTAGGTATTTTCGAATGGTTTGAAGCGATTACGAGTTCACCTAGTTTGCGAATGGAACAAAGACTTGTGACCAAAGACCAATAAGTTATTTATTCTGACGCTTCCCAGACCCGCTGACTAGAGTGAGAAGCCCAGGTTGGAAGTTGGGAAGATATATTCCGTAAGCGACCGGAAGCACAACTGATACAAATCAAACGTATATATATATATATATATATATATACAGCATAAAATTGTCCTTAGGAAGCGTTACAAAATAGCATACTAAAAGATATAACGGACCAATAGCGTTTATGAGTTTTCCAAGTGGAAAATACGACATGAAGGTTAAAAGAGCGCTTTTGGCCCGAAAACAGAAATTCAAATTTTCATAATAAAATAGCAAAAATAAGTGATTTACCAAGTGAGTTCTGGGGATCTGACATCCCCAAAACCTCTCCTTTTAATAACGAGCATTCTTGGGGTCCACTTGCATCCTGACCGTCTGTCGCTGTTGGCGTAGTGATCACCTGGATCGTAGATCGACTTGTCGTTGTGCTTCTTCCTGTGTTGGGACTACGGGCGCATTAAAGATGTCTAACAGGCTGTCTGGTGGGAGATTTTCGTTCCGTCCGCGCCCCACTGAATTATCTTCTGAGTAAGAATACTAGTTGGAACTGGACAAAGGAGTATGGAACTGCCTTTTGTAAGCTGAAAACAATCATTAGCTCGGAACTATTATTGACACACTACTATCCGTGCATGCCAATCATCGTGGCCGCAGACGCTCAAAGATTTCAATAGACCACTGATTCAACTAATTCAAATAAAACCCATTTGGTTAAAAGTCCAATTTCCTAATGAATAAGTCATAAATTTACATCAAGATGATGCATAGTCATAAACATGAAAAAAGAATAGTAAGTAAAACTATGAAAAGTATCATGTTCAATGATCTTAACCCTTAATTATGGATGGCTAGAATGTTAAAACCAACCACTTTAATATATAACATCTGACTTGACAAGATAATATAGTCAAAATTCTGTAACAATGTGGTAGAAGTAGTAAAAGTATAAGCATTATGTGAAAGATTAAAAAAAAAATCCTTCATTATTCATATAATTCTAATCCTTTTAATATCGATAAAATAAAAGAGAGGAAAAAAAACTGTTATGTCCCGATAAGAATAATGAGTGGTAACTTTTGGATCCATTTATTTATGTAATGTATATATTGTTGTTTATCAGTTATTCATTTTTCTTTTAATCTATCATTATAAATTAGGATCTACATTCATACTTTGAATATCGTGGTTATCCATTTAATAAATATGAAATTGTTCGTATTCATCCTAATCTATGTCTTTCATCAATGCATCAATCTATTTCTTTAACAGTTGCTGGTCTATACACTAAAGATACTTTGTTTATACAAGAACGTTAAATGTTGTATAGATATTATTCTATGGTTAATTTTATAATGTTTATATTATATATATATATATATAGTAGGGTTTTAATACACCTATGGGATTTCTAACCTTATACTCTTGCTCATTAAATTTAATCTTTTTTGTATTGTTTTGCGATGATGACCACTCATATATATATATTACAACCATAGGATAATTGTAAATGTACAATAGTTATTCCTTTCAGACTATATCTCCTTACAGATGATATGTTTGTACTTCTTTACTGTTCTTACTCTTCTCACTCTTCTTCTTCATCATCATCATCATCATCAAAATGTGACAAATGTTTTTCTTTTCTTTTAAAAAAGTGATTTCCATGATGTTTAGTTACTATATGGTTTTTTCTTATTCTTATTTTTGTCTATTATTGTCATCATTGATCATATACTTTATTTGGAATCGATTTAATGGCGGAGGAATTCGGTTGAAATGTCCATATACATAAATGAGTTTTCATATTTATTAAATTAATAATAATAATTATTATTATTAATGCCAATACTACCTAAACCGCACACTCTCCTTATATATATATATATATATATATATATATATATATATACTAGTTTGTCAATGTGTCTTTTGATTGTTTTACTGTCGGAGAGTTCCCCTGCCCTACTCCCCATCCCCCCTCCTTCGTTCAATGTTCCAATGTCATAATGTCATTATTAGGAGGAGTGTTACTATTTACTTATATGTACACATTTTAATTTGTCAATAAATATATATAAATCTTGTCATTGTTAAGAAATACAATTATATTGAAAAGGATTATGTGTTCTTTTCTTTAAAAAAAAAATTACAATGGATACTAAACATTTCATATTGTTGTATCATGTTGCCTCTATGGTTCAATGTGTGTGTGTGTGTGTGTGCATGTTATTGTTGTTTGTTTGTTTGTTTTTTACTTTTCTGAGGTGAATTTTTATTTTATGATAAATTCTTACTAATGTTTACTGTTTACTAATAATTGTTAGATTAGAGTTAGTTAGACAGAGTGAACAATTTTTTTTTTTTCATATTATATTATCCTGTATAAGGTTTTGTAAATAAAATTATATAATGTTTACTAGTAAACGTTTGGAACATAAATTTGTCGATCAATATGATTTGTTACTATTTGTCAGTTTTGATCATATAACCTTGATAATAAATTTCAGTATGTGCAATTTCATTCTGCTTTGGAACTGATCAATTAGATGTACTTTCATATCAGTACTGATGTAAAAAAGTTTGAGTCTAATCCAGTAAGTTAACTGATAGTTAGATCACCTATTGACCCCCAAATGCCCTGGTACGCCGCGAATGGGGAGAGTTCTCTCTCCCTCTCGAAATGCTGTCATATGGCCACACGTATATAGTCTCTTCTAGGTAAGTCCTACTCACTGCCTTCTCGTGGCATTACTGTTGTTTGCGAAATTGAGAGGACGATAAGCGAATGTCCGGCGCTTTAACCGGGTTGGTGGACACGGAGAGTCCACCTAGGGGAGTTGCAAAATCCTGATTCCAAACCAATGGTGCACATGGGCTGGCTCCAGTATCCTAAGGGAACAAATGGCGTATGGACCAATTCTTGGTCACCGGCTACCATAAAACTGCATCTCCTCAAGATGATTCACTACCTTGTGGATTAGATCATTAGGTCAAAAGATCTGGGTGTGGTCCCCTATGAAAACCACCTGATTCAGTTTGGGCACGTGGTCAGTATCACAGCCGTCACACAAATGAAATGAGATTTGTGTGGTGCATGTGTATCTGGTGCCTCTTTCTACCAATATTTATGTGTTCAAATAAATAAATAATTTCACCTATTCAAATAAATTATTCCATTTCATTTCTCATCACTTCCACTAAATTTCACTCTAGTATTCTGAACTACTTTAAAGTAAAACTTTGAGGAAACACAAACAAACTAGAAAGTATCGAAAGTGTAGTATTCAAATCAACAAAGTTGAGTACATAAATGTCTACTTCATTGACGAGTTACAGTAATATTACATATAGATTACAGTAATAATTCAATGTTTCCTACAAAGCTTCTACTTAAACCTGTAACATTTGTCAGTACTATAAATAGTTTGTTCGGAATATTTTCTAGAATTCAGATAAGATCATGTATTATTTCCTATAAAATAAAGTAACAAATCTCTCTTATATGTGTATCAGAAATAGTTTTAACAAACAGCTTTCACAGACATTGTAAGTAAACATAGATAGTGACTAACAGTGTAATCCACGACGCGCGTTTCGTCCTATTTGGTACTCATCAGCTGGATGTACCTACATGACGAGTTGCAGTCCAAAAAAACATCAATCGGAAGATTCAAACAAACAATACTAATTTAAATTTAAATTTCCGCAGACATTTTTTTTATTGTTTGGAATTACATTGGTCTCCTAGTTAGTATTCAGTGTTGAATATAAATAGTCTCTGTTGATATATAAACTTCTTCATTGAATTGATCACAATTATCTATATTTTCAATGTGATGATATTTCTGACAGCAATTAGCATTCGGATTATTGATACGCATTTTGTCCATAAATTCAATGTAACGAATCACGGTTCGTCGATCTGTCGGTTTTGTCTCTGTTAACTAAATAATTAGGTATATTTCTTTAGTCTATTGTATTATCATGAATGTCATTTTTGTTGGTGTGTGTGTGTAGTTGGAATGTCCAGTCTTTGAAGAATAAACATAACATGTATTTTCAATATTTCTATTGATTACAGATTATTACATAATATCAACGAAGATTGCCCAATATAAATAACTTTGTACAAGTATACACATTTATCCTTTATGTCAACATCACAAGGATTTATAAAAACTGTTATGGTATTATTAGAAAGTACCAGTGGTTCAAGACATTGTATAGTTGGTTTTCGACCTCGTCTAGCTAATAATCGTAAAGAGAAAGTTGCATTTGATCCACTTGTTCAACAAAATGTATTATATCGTGAATTACGCAAAATACGCTCATTGAAAAAAGCGGGAAGTTAGGCTATATCTATATTAGATAAATACAATGTACATTGATTCATCATTTTGTTATAAATAAATAAATAAATTTTTCACTTCATTATTTTCTTCTTACTTACATTATTTTAATCAATCTGTTGTTTGTTTTCAATGAATGACTGTAATTGACAATTGTTTTTAATAGTTGAAATCATAAGTCAATTGAAGCTAGATCACTATGGAAAACCTGGAAACAATAGACGGCTATTTCATCTTATTATGGGACTCCTCGGCAGTGCGCATCTACAATCCCGCACTCGCGGGACTCGAACCCAGGACCTACCAGTTTCGCGCCAGAGCACTTAACCTATATACCACTGAACTGACCGGCATCCAACGGTGTTAATGTCTAATTGCTTTTAACTTCGATTACAATTTAGGGTCTACAATATTTTCAAATAATTTATAATCTTCTGCCACGAAAGTCCTACTCAATACCTTCTCGAGGCATTACTGTTGTTTACGAAATTGAGAGGACGAAAAACGAATGTCCGGCGCTCTAACCGGGTCGGTGGACACGGAGAGTTTACCCAGGAGAGTTGGAAAACCCTGATTTGAAACCATTGGTGTACATGGGCTCCAGTATCCTGAAGGAACAAATGGCGTACGAATCAATCGTTGGTCACCGGTTACCATGGGACTGCATCTCCTTACGGTGTACCAATGCCCTGTGGATCATAACTTTAGGGTCAAAGATTCCGGTTGTGGCCTCCTAATAAAAATACCTACTTCAGTTTGGGTACGTGGGCAGTAACACAGCCGTCACACAAATGAAATGAGATTTGTGTGGCGCATATGTATCTGGTGCCCCCTTGTAACAATGTTTATGTGTTTAAATAATAATAGTAATAATAAATAGTGAAAGTGTAACGGAAGATGATTATCTCTCGTTAATGATTCTACTTACTCGATCCACCTCTGTGTGTAGATAGAGTTTGAAATGAAATTCATTCGTGACATGTATATAATCTTGATAATTATTGATACAACAGTTTTTAAATATGCGTCTTCTTAGAGGTGGAATATTTATTGAGCCTAGTTGTGAGAGCTAAAACTGATCTTTTGTCCTATTTGGGACTTGTCAATCGAGTGCCCTTAGTATCTATTATCCAACTTTAACAAAATCTTGTAACTAATTATGAATTTTGAGTCAACCAATTCAATGCTTTTATACCAGTAGAAACTGATCAACTACCAACGAGTGGACATAAACCTGTTAAGTTATATTCTATTAATGTGTATCAATAGATAATAGACTTGATGAGTGTAATTTGTTTTTACAGCGGTATGAAAATATTAATATTCATTGAACATGGTCCTTGGATCAACTTTTTATTTAATTTTAAACTACTTAAAGCTTTGAATCATTTAAATAGTTTAGATGGATAATGACTAGCAGTGCAAATCCACGACGCACATTTCGTCCTATTTGGGACTCGTCAGCTGGATGTACCTGCATCTGAGAGTTGATGTTCACTCTGAGAATCGAACCCAGTACCTTTCGCTTCAAACGCCATCGCGTTATCTACTCAGCTACTGAGTCCTGATAGCCAGTTGCTTGTGCAATGGGATTAAGTTTAAATTCGCTTAGTATTGCTTGTTTAAATCTCCTCATTAATGTTTAGGACTGCAATTAATCAGTCTCTTATTGGCATATGTGCATAATGTGCGTATTGCCTTGATGTAGCCTAAATTCACAAGCATGGTAAGCAAAGATGGATAGTGGCTAGCAGTGGAATCGAGGCAATACGCATGCCAATTAGAGACTGACCAGTTGCAGTCCTTAAAACACATCAATGGGAAGATTCAAGCAATTAATCCTAAGTGGATTTAAGTAGTTTGCTCATAATTGTTTATTTATTTTTGAAATCTATTCATTAATGTATTTTCAATCTTTATTTGTTAACTTTAAAAAAAATTCTTTTTAGTGCACCAATGAAGTCCTGTTGGCAATGATTATTTATTCATTGTGTTATCACTAATAATAATAATACCAATTATCTTTTACTGAATGCCAAATTTTTGGCTTAATTCTATAATATTTCTACATGAACTCTAATACATTCACATCAACGGTGAATCATTCTTGTACATCGATTAATTTTACAACAACAATAACCTGTACTGCGACTCATACAACGACTATAACAACAACAACGAAAACAAATGCTACTAATATTTCTACAACTATTACCAATACTTCTTCGTCTAACACAACAACAACAACAACAACTACTGCTATTAATAGTAATGATACGACAACGAATACAATTTTAAGTAAATTAACTGATCGTGCTACTTATTTTGCTGTTGTTTCTGATACTTGTGCATTCAATCGTAATTTATGCAAAACTCGTTATTCTCGATTACCATTTTTGGATTTAGCAACTCATATTTCTCAAAGACCAGCTCCATGGTTATATCATACAAACAGGGAATATTTAAGAGGTAAGTTAAGTATCTTGACTGTTGTGTGTAGTCTTTCGAATAAATATACGAAAGAATATCCAGTCTGGGTTTTCTCCGTTCACAGCTTTAAAAGCCTTCAGAAGTCAGACTGTATGATCGAATGTTATCATGACCTTGGATTATCATTCCATCTTTATCAGTTGAGATGGCTGGGACGTATGTCCAACCACCGACGTGCAATGGTTTATGGTGTAGGAGTAGGTTGGAAGAAAGGTAGGGGCGACCAGACCAAAACATGGCACAAATCCATGAAGTCGCTGACAAGTGGACTGAGCTATTTTGGTAAGTGTAGACTACCTGGTTGGGATTTGCGAGATGATAGCAATCGATGGTTAGAGACCTTGAATGACATGTCTCAAAATCGTTTGCAATGGTGAAGGTGCATCCACTCTTTATGTTCTGTCAAATTCTAATCTGAATTCTTCATATCCCTATCTTTTTTCTCTTTCCAAATTTATTTCACTGTATTATACTCCTTGAATAACATCTTCAAACCCTAATCTGTCCGATTACTCCTTATACTCTTTCTACTTCTACCACTATGGGATTTGAATCGACAACTGCATCTCTGTGCTAATGTGGTATGGCAACTCGAACTGATGTACGTACTTACGAAGTTCTATATTGTGACTGACTGACTCATAATTCCAGTCCTCACTGAAATGCTTTGATCCACTTAAAAAGGTCTATTCTCTTTATTGTCTCATGTTCATATACAGTGATCATTTGTATTTCTTGATTATTCTTCCTAAATTTTATTAGAAATTTACAGTTGACAACAGAGTTAATACATTTGACTCCTGAGGACTTTCAAGTCTGTTTTGAACAATGGAAACTGGTTCAAAACACATGTATTACCAAAAATGTTCAGTATTTTAAAGGGGATACGATTGATGTACCCTGGAATCTTGTTCAATAAACTTCTCATAATCTCAATTCGCCTGTTTATTGAACATACTGTGTAGACTTAGGTATTCCTTTTAACATACTTTCTTTGTAAATAGATATTCATCGTTTTATTCTAATTGATTTATTTACAGAATCACCATCTAAAGATCCCCATGTTTACTTACGTTTTCCTCGTTATCGTTGGCATTTGGACTATCAGTCACCCCATAAGAAGCGTAAGACTGCTAATCAAAAACTTTGGTATACGTTACAGAATGGATTGAAAGCACTGGGAGTCTCGTCTGACTTGGGTAAATTTTACTATTATTGCTGTTTATTAGATAAATCTCATGAAAAATCATTTGAATGGTCTATTATTGTTTTAATGCAAATTTGATGTATTAAGTCGTTGACTGGTTGTGTTTAATATCAATCAACAAATATGATATTATTACTGGCAATAGAAGTTTGTCGGACACAACTATAAATATCAACAATGAGAACTTTCAGATGTTTATGAATACCAGTCAGTTGAACAAGTTTATGGTTGTCTGGGCTCAGTAAATAGGTAGGTAACGCGTTAACTTTTGAAACGGTACACACTGGATTTAAGTCACAGTGTAAACGTTTTCGTGGTCTAAACGTTTGCTGAATAAGATGCTTGATATGAACACAGGCGCTAAGATATCTTTAAGCACTCAGTCTTCTCTTAAATTTTAAATTTCTGAACCCCTCTTTCTTTTTTTTTCTCCACTGACTTATGTTTTCTTGAATTGTATCTTCGAAGCATAATCTTTTTTATTACCACTCATATTTTCACTGCCTCAACTATTCTGGGTTTCAGCATAACAATTTCATTACTCTGCGCCAATTGGCTATGACAACTTAAATCGATGTATGTAGTTACCAGGTTCTCGGTTGCGTTCTAATTACTGATTGATTGACTTTAAGTACTGTTTTTCAATCATTTAAGTAGAGTGAATGAACAAGTAAAATTTGAAGAATACACTGGGTTCATTGTTGTACCATTGTTGCTTTTTTAAAGTGCATAGTACGAGCATTTATTTTCACGGTTGTTGGATGATCTCGATAGGCGATATTCACTAGTATAGAATTAGGTTAGAAAATAGATAGAGGCGGCCGTATGAATTCATCGACTGTTATTTTGAGTCATGCTGATAAGTGCGAACAATATGGTTTTAAGTTCTACAATAGTTACGATCAGTAGCTGGCGACATTTCGAAACATGGCTCATAATCGTTTTAATTGACGCGGATACATTCACTTATTTATTTTATTTATTTAAACACATAAACATTAGTACAGGAAGGTACCAAATAGATATGCGCCACATAAATCATTCGATTTGTGTAAGGGCTAGGATACTGTCCGAATGCCAAAACCGAAGCACTCACTACTTATCTTTCTCTAGATCATAAAATCCAGTATTCCGCCATACAAACATTTTTACTCTGTCTTTTTTACCATATTCTCAACACATATTTAAATGCTATTCTGAAACCTGAAGGAGTCGATTCTTAAGATGATAAATAAAACGAGTACACTTGTATTTTCTTGTCTCATTGGCATCATCATGGAAATAACATGATTTCTTTTTATCACATTCAGAGACTTGGGTTTAACAGTTAGTTCGCTACTACTCGGATGCCTTAATGCAAGTATTTGATGTGGGCCTCAAAAATTTGAGTATTATGACTACTAGTCTATCTATATACCTATATGTAATTATATAACATCATTTAGTGTTATACAATTTATTTCTATTTTCTTCCAACTTGTTTAGTTCCTGTTGTTACAAGAAAAGCTTATGCTATATCCGGTCTCTCAATACCATCAAGTTTAGCTAACTACTTGGATGCTCTGAATCCTCGAGTGTCTGTCAGTCATGCAACAGGAAATAATGCTAATAATAATAATAGTAGTAACTCAACTAACCGATTACAGCACTCAGGTTTTGTTGGAACAAACAATTCTAATGTCCACTCAAATTCGTTCCAACGAAAAATACTTTATGACAATCATGGTGATTATTCTCGTGATGCAATAATCAACCCAGCGATAATAACATCCATGTTACACGATGATGAAGAGCACGATTATATTGTTAGTGATCGAAGTCAGGATAGTGTATGCTTCTTAAATGGTCGAGTTGGAGGATCGGCGTCGAATACTCCAGGCTTTTTCGGTGGCATCAGTGGTGGTGGTGATGATAGTACACAATCATTTGATGGAATGTTGACAATGACTAAACGTATAAACAAAAATTATAGGACAAATTCCGATAATGTCAATTTATCCGATTTACAAGATGGTACTCATGAAACACAGCATAGCAATAATAATCATATAATGTTAAATAAATCAGATTATACTAAAACCTACGATTTAGATAATGTCTCTGAAGATGATGATAATCAAAACCGGGACTATGATGCAGAGGATTTTGATGGAGAGATAGGGGAAGAGATAGATGATGATGATGACGGTGGCGGTGATGCAGATTGGTTTACTGGACGACGACGCAGGACGGGAGTAAGTGGTAATAACAGTTCTGGTGGAGGTAATAATGGTCTCGTTATGAGTGGCAACGGAAGAAGAGGCAAAACACGATCTATGTATTCACTGAAAATGACAAAATATAATCGAAAAATGGTCAATCAGAAAGTTAATCGTTCTTCCCAAAATTTTCCTGCACTGAGTAGTCGTTTAGGAGGTAGAAGATTTACGAAACGTCACCTTGGCCGTCCATTTTCAGGTCGACTTCGAGTGAGTGGTTTTTCAATGATCAATCACTATTTGTAACATTTCCTAATTGTTTACGAAACGGTGACTTTACTAATGTATTTATGATTTCAATCTACTGATATTTGACTACTTGATAACTAAATTCTTATTCTAACCATGTATTAGCTGTTAATTCATTATTGACTGTGTATCATTGTCGACTCCATTAAATGATCTCTACTGACATTCAAACTACTCAAATCTTATCTAATCATATGAGAACTGGCTTTTTCCCAACCTTTGTAACAAACCTATATTCAGGGGTTCGTACACGTTATTTGTATCATCTCAATAACTATCTCAATATGAATTATTTACTATCATTAATATCATGTTTTGTTCTATTATCGGATTCAGTCTCTAGTTCACGTTTTGCGACGTTTGATGAACACAACTATGCAGAGAAAAAAAGCAAACAATAAATTGGAAGCTTTGTTGCTAAAAGTCAAATAATTCTGCTTACAAATCATGGTAAGCTTAAGTAGTAACTTACCAAGTTATTTAAACTTAAGCAATTATAACCCTAGTACATCGAGGCTCGACAAATCAAAAACACCATTTATTCGAATAATATGAACATTTTGAAGATTAAATTTGTAGCATGACTCCTTTGCTAAATGTTCTACGTAGTGTATGAACTCAATTATTCAAACCACTTAGATGAAAGTACTGTCGATATTTCAGCAACCTTACAATATAGTAGCGAAAAAATATTACGTAGTTCGCATTTTTAATTCTTTCACTTCAATGTCCAAACCGTTTGTATACATTTTTATCAATTATCCCAGGCAAACGATTCACGCTTGGATGATCAATCTTATACGTATGCAAAATCTAGTCCTTCTGTTGGACGTCGTGGTAGTCGGGCTATTTCTCGTCTTGGCACTAGACATATGAGTGATAGTTGGAAAGGGCTTCAGCGTTATGGAATTGGTAGAGAAAAGCTAAACGAATGCAACGGTAATTCGATTATCTGTTTTTATCTTTACTTTTTTCATTATTTTCATGTGTGTGTGTGTGTGCGCTTGTGCCTGAGAATACATTTGATAAAATCTGTTTATCAAAATATTCATCCACTCTTTTCACTAAAATAAGATAGTGTTTCACGCAAAAGATAACAGTCGTAATATATACATCACGCTATCAAGATGAATACAGGATGTTCATTTAGAAGAAGGTATTATAAAACCTTAATTTCATGCTAATAGTATACATGAATTTAAAGTTACTGAAGGGGCGAATAATCTATGGGCCTACAACATTGCTACTTGATATGACAAAAGTTCATTGCTTTAATGGGTTGTCAATTAGATCATAGATCTGAGGCTTCTAGATAAACACGTGAAGAAATTATTTATTTCGTTTCGAGCATGCAAACGGTATCATAGCTATTTTGCAAATGAAAATTACAGTAACATACCACAGTTCTTTCTGTATCTACTTGTAATAGTATGCTAGTCATGAATTTTCTTTTTTTAATTTTAATCTCAAAACATTGTTGATATATAGATTCATTTAGTATTGTTTGTTTCAATCATGCGATTGATGTTTAGGACTGCAACTGATCAGTCTATAATTGGCATATGTGCATACTGAGTATTGCCTCGATATAGTTTTAATTCACAAGCATTATAAGCAAAGATGGATGGTGGCTAGCAGTGGCACAAACAAGTGGCTATCAGGACTCAGTAGCTGAGTGGATAACAAGATGGCGTTTGAAGCGAAAGGCACTGGGTTCGAGTCCCAGAGTGAATAATAACTCTGAGATGCAGGTACATCCAGCTGACGAGTCCCAAATAAGACGAAACGTGCATCAAACTGGATTCCATTGTTAACCACTATCCATCTTTGCTTACATTGTTGATATATGTTTCTTATTTAAACAAAACAAAGAAAATCTTTAATTTTCATCTACAGACTGAACTTTATTGTATCACTATAATTAATTACCTGTTTATAAACGTATTTTATTGAACAGACTACCTATAATGTTTGTCTACCTATCATGTGATTTTATCTCTAGATCATTATACTAATGGAGTGATAAGTGAACTTGCTAAGTTTTATCTTTGTCCCGTGCACTTTCTCCCTCGATTTCAATATATTAACCTTCTATAATTGCTTAGTAATTTGTCGGAACTCAATGATCAACTAATAGTAGTCAATCATAGTTTGAAGTGTATTTTATCAATATGTGTTATTATAAATAATATCGGAAAAAAAATGAGTGATCCACCAAGCGACCCTGTTATCTTTATTCATCTGGCCAATCAGAAGACAGCGAAGCTTGATAAATTATTTATCACATTAAGACTAGGATTCATAGCATACATTTTAGGATATTCGGATTATAGCTGGTTTCAGTTCGTAATTTAAAAAAACAAAGCACAATAACCTTGAAGCTGTCGCCCATTTATCATTGGTTCAGAGTTAGTTCTGCTTTGCCAATAAAATACATCTGGCTTATAATGCAAATGCGTATACGTTTTCATTGATTTAATATACGGTTTAAATATTGAGGCCTTATGGCTTTCAACTTTGTAATATGAAGTAGTAGTGTTCTCTTTCATAAAATTATTTGTTTTGTTTATATTTAATTATTGCACCATACACTATTATGGCGTTACACAATGAAGTAGGTCCATGAAGTTATTGTGTTTGGTTGTGTTCTGTTCTATATCATTTTTATTCAACGAAATGCCACTCTAATAATGCTAATGTGTTTGATACATTTTTACTGTTTACATTGTTCGTACATTTATTTCGATGTTTGTTTGTGTGTTTGTGTACATGTGTATGGAAAAAAAAGATTCTTGGGATGTCGATAATGAACCCGGTTTCCAGTTGAACGCTACTCCTATTACACCGACAATAAATGAGAAACACGAAGGGAAATTACTCGGAAATTGTAATACATTAAACGATCGGTTGAATACATCAAATTTATTTTCATCATCATCGTCTTATCCGTCGACTTCGTCAAACTCTTTACATCTTCATTCTTCGTTAGTAAACAGTGATAAATCTTTGTCAGGTATATATGAGTCCTCAATACAAAATCGATTCAACTCTGACCGTAGTTCACCTTTATTATCTCAGTCGAAATTTGTCCGTTCGTCAGCTACACCAGCGAATTGGTCTCATTTAATGAATGTAAATCAGTCAAACGTTGGGACACAATCATCAACTACAGTTAATATGTCCATTTCATCAATGTCATCTTCATGTATGTCATCATCATCATCTCCAATGGATTCGTGTCGAATATCAGAACAACCTAATAACTTATCGTTACCTCGTTGTTACGATTCAAATGATTATGTTATGCGTATAGAGGAGTTGTCGAAAAATCATGAAAGTAGTCCACAATTTTTTTCATCTGGTCGTCGTCCTAATACATTTAGACAGTCGAACTGTAGTGATACAATGAATCGTTATAATCCTTTGTCAGTACCTTCGGAAAGTTTTCATAACAGTCCATCAATAAATAGTACAGTTGGTCCAATGGTCAACCCAGTTTTCAGTAATATCGATCAGTCAAATAATAATACTAATAATAGTCCCATAAATACATCCAATGTTAGTGATATGATGCGAATAGTCGATGCTTCTAATACTGATAAATCTAATAATGGACGAGTGGTTGGTGATTTGCAAACATTTGTTAGTCCTCAAACAGCTACTACAACTGTAACTTTCTTTGTATGTGAAGTATGCTCGTCACGCTATCGATCTACTGCAGGACTACGTTATCATTATCATAGTCAACATTCAGGTTATACACCACAAAATCCTATATCTGCTTCAGCATCACGACTTGTTGTACCGGTTGGTGAAGAAAGAGGTATTGGCGGAGGACTTCGTGGTGGACGACCTAGAAGACATCGAGGTACGTGGAAATTGATTTCTTTTACTTGATTTTGATGATTTCGTATAATTACACTACATTTTTATGTTAACACTTTTTGGTATTGTGTACCAAATTTCATCGTGATATTTTCTAAAGATTCATATTATGAACGCTTCTTTTTAGAGGGATTAGTGTTTTTATGGTTGCATTTAGACTAAGAGCAAACTCATGGTTGTTTAGTGTCTTGGGGATGGGTTAATGCTATCTAGCCCCCAAATGCCCTGGTACGGCCGAGAGTGGGCAGAGTCCGTTCTCTCTCTCCAAATACTCTCACATGGCCAAGCGTATATATAGTCTCTGACAGGGAAGTCCTACTCACTGCATTCTCGTGGCAGAGGTGTTGTTCACGAAATTGAAAAGTGAATGTCCGGCGCTTTAACCGGGTTGGTGAACAAGGCGAGTCCACCTACGGGAGTTGGAAAACCCTGATTCCAAACTAATGGTGGACATGGGCTCCAGTATCCTGAAGGAACAAATGGCGTACGAATCAATCGTTGGTCACCGGCTACCATGGGAATGCATCGCCTCAAGATGATTCACTGCCTTGTGGATCAGATCTTTCGGTCAAAGGCTCCTGTTGTGGGCCCCTAAGAAGACCACCTGCTTCAGTTTGGGCACCTGGGCAGTATCACAGCCCTCAAGCAAATGAAATGAGATTTGTGTGGCTCATATATATCTGATGTTTCCTTGTATCAATATTTATGTGTTTAAATAAATAAAAATAAAATGCTATCTTGCTTTCACGCTGTGCATATGTACATCAATAATGAATAAGTAGACCTGTATAACGTCGAAAATACTAGTCTCGATAAATATCGGGCCCATAACAAGGACTTAGGAACTGCAAACACGAGAAAAGCAGACTGAATTTAGACCTGGTTGTGTCTGCATCGATCACATACCGTTCGTCAGATTTCAGAACACAGACAATGATAGTCTTCTTGACCTTGAAGCAGCATTTGACTCTGTAGATCGAGAGGTTCTGTGGCAATGTCTGCCATTGAAAGGAGTACACTACCAGTCGAGTGAGAGCTTATGGCGAACTGTCATATGATTTTACAACCTCAAGTGGTGTCCGTCAAGGCTGTCCACTATCCACATTTTTATTTAACTTCATGATAGACATAATGCTGGAAATAACGTTCTCGTCGACTGAATTTTCAGGACGTAATCTCCCACCAGGAGGTCCACTTATCGACTTAGAATACTCAGATGACATGGTCCTATTTGTTGAAGACGATGAGCAACAATACCAGGATGTTTGGAATGCATTTTTTCCGGAATGTAAACTGTTGTTTGAAGACTAACCTGAGTCGACACCCAAACTAAGGATAGGAAGTGAAGTAGTCGAACGCGTCGACAACTTCACTTACCTTGGAAGTATCTAACAAAATTTGTGCACGTATTCAAAAAGCTCGTTTGGCTTTTGCCAACTTACGTCAAATATGGTGAAGGCGAGATATCTGTCTATCAATTAAGGGACGAGCATACTGAGCAGCAGTTCGCTTGTTCTACTTTACGGCTGTTAAACATGGCCATTAAGAGTAGAAGTTACTCCTAAATTACGATTTTCTGATCACAGACGTCTTGGAAATATTGCTCACATCTACTGGGATCACCGGGTAAGTAAAAGTTAAATTAGACACAGGGTACTAGAGAATGATGGTAACTCAGTTGTTGAGGTTATAGATCTTCACCGACTGAGATGGATGGGCCACGTGTAACGTTTTCCTGAACACCGATTACCACGACGCTCAATGCTGACTAGTGTTGGAGATGGTTGGAAGAGAGCTATGGGCTGTCAAACCAAACGTGGCATCAGTGCTTGAAGTCACCAACTTCTAGTCTAAGCCATGTTGGTAGATGCAGACTACTTGACAATCGTAACCAATGGTTTAAGAGCCTGGGTGACATGGCTCAGAATCGATCACAATGGCGTAGGTGTATACAATCATTATCTTCCCTTAAACTGTGAAATTCAAATTGCTTTTTACCTTCCTTTATACGAAGTTATTCTTTTTTCGCTTATTATATTCTTATACACAATCTTTCTCCTATATATTTGTACCATTGAATTAACTACTTCCATGAATTTGGTATTGATATTGTACTAATGAGGTATGGGAACTTGGACCGATGTATATGTGCCTGGTTCTAAGTTTTAGATGACTGATTGAATGATCTGTATCCGATAATGGATCATACGATTCTTATTCGTGGTATTACTGTTCTTACTATCAACTGTTCTTGTTTCCTTTTGTTGTGTAAAAGGTTCGACTGGTTCTTCGAAATCACGTGATAAATTGGCGAACTCCCCCTATGTCAACGAGTATCAAATCTCTTCTGAGCAAGATGACAGATCCAACAGTATCTTATCATCACAATACTGCAGTGAGTTGAATGTTTACTACTACTATATTTTTTTGAAATCATATAGTATTCACTTTGACTTGATTAATTGACAAATATTTTTATGCTTATTTGATGACATGTTTGCACTGATGGAGATGTCGAACGTGTTTTATTCTGTTCAATGTTACTTCTTTGATCCATTTTCTAGTTTTGTTTTAGAAGTACCAGCTATTATAGATAGAGCCTTAATATTTTTTCGTCGTTATCATGTACTTTAACTTATACTGCCGTTTTACCGATGACATCTGTTATTGTCGATCAGAATAACATCAATAAAATTGTAACAAAATTTAACAATGTAAACCTGCATATCTATTATGTTCATTTAGGAAGAAGAGTATGACAATAATAGGATTTCTTTAACATCTTGTTAAACAGAGAAGAGTTATGCAGAGATGGATAGTGGCTAGCAGTAGAATCCAGGACGCGCGTTTCGTCCTATTTGGGACTCGTCAGCTGGATGTACCTGCATCTCAGAGTTGATGTTCACTCTGGGACTCGAACCCAGTACCCTCGCTTCAAACGCCATCGCGTTATCCACTCGGCCACTGAGTCCTGGTAGCCACTTGCTTGTGCGATGGGGTGAAGTTTGAATTCACTTAGTATTGTTTGTTTGGATCTTCCCATCGATGTGTTTAGGACTGCAACTGGTCAGTCTCTAATTGGCATATGTGCATACTGTGCGTATTGCCTCGATATACCTTAATTCACCTTAATCCATCTCTGCTTACCATGCTTGTGTATTAAGGTATATCGAGGCAATACGCACAGTATGCACATATGCCAATTAGAGACTGACCAGTTGCAGTCCTAAACACATCGATGGGAAGATCCAAACAAACAATACTAAGTGAATTCAGAGAAGAGTTATGCCTAGAAAAAAAATCTATCAATATGTCCAAAACACAAATTTCTTGTACTTGCGATACATGAATAAAGTCCTTTACAAAAGAGAGCTAGAAAGATATAAACAGACAGCACAACAGATAAAGAATTAAACATGCATGATACATTGATTTGAATTAGTCAGTCAGTCGGTCAGCTACAACGTAGAACCAGGCACACATATGCATCGGTTCAAGTTGCCATACCTCATTAGCACAGCAAGATGAACACCGAATCCATAGAAGTAGTTAATTTATTTTTTATTTATTTTATTTAAACACATAAACATTGGTACAAGAAAGCACCAGATATATATGCGCCGCACAAATCTCATTCGATTTGTGTGAGGGATGAGATACTGCCCAGGTGCCCAAACTGAAGCAGGTGGTCTTCTTAAGGGGCCACACCCGAAGCCTTTGACCTAAACGTCTAATCCACAAGGTAATGGAGCATCGTAAGGAGATGCATTCCCATGGTAGCCGGTGACCAACGATTGATTCGTACGCCATTTGTTCCTTCAGGATCCTGGAGCCCATGTCCACCATTAGTTTGGAATCAGGGTTTTCCAACTCCCGTAGGTGGACTCACCTTGTTCACCAACCCGGTTAAAGCGCCGGACATTCGCTTTTCAATTTCGTGAACAACACCTCTGCCACGAGAATGCAGTGAGTAGGACTTCTCTGTCAAAGGCTATATACGCTTGGCCATGTGAGAGTATTTGGAGAGGGAGAGCGAACTCTGCCCACTCTCGGCCGTACCAGGGCATTTGGGGGAGGTTCACAAGGAACCTCTCATTTTATAACTTTACGGTAATATTGATAGGCTATTCAAAAGAAAATTTTATTGTTGCTAAGCAAATTAAACAAAGATTATGTACACCATAATCAATATTTTCATCATTATTTTTCATTTTCAATAATATAATACTTTTTTCTATTTTCAACGTATACAGAAATTACAAATCCCTATTCACCATCATCTCAAAATAACAAACGTGGTCATAATAATATCAATCGTTTAGATTGTAAAACAATCGACTCTAGATCAATTGTAGAACCAAAGTTAATCGATTTAATCACAAGTCAAGCAGCTCCATTGAAATATCAAGAGAAAGTTCATGTTAATCACTACAATTCCATAGAGTCCGATAATGATAACAGCGAATTAGTAATTATTAATAATAATAAGGATAATAATAATAATAGTTTACTAACCTCTGTAGAAATGAAAAAGTTACCTTTCTTGGATAATCAAACTAATGGTGCAGAACGTTCATCGTCTTTATCAACACCTGGCAAATTTGTGGATTCAACAGATTCAGTAATTGCTGTTAATGATTCATCCTCATCGTCAAGATTTCAAATGATTGACTACAATAACTATAACAATACTAATGTCAATAGTAGTAATAATTTTCCCCATACAAATATTCATTCTGTACAACGACAAAACACTTTACAATCATCATCATCATTCAATTCTCCGATTTCACATCTGGGAAATAGTGGGATTGGTAATAAAATCCATTCACATATTCCCTATTCCCATTCTCATCATCAACATTCTTATCTATCATCACAACAGCTACAATCATCTCCACAAAACAATTGGAATTCTCATAATACAATATTTAATCAAATGTCCTATGGTTCCCCAAGCGTTCCTAGTAGTCATACTTCTTTTCTTCGGTTGCCACCACAACAGCAGTCTCCAGCGACAATCAGTCATGTAGGTCCACAACAACGACGTTATGAAAGACAACACTGTCCAGATCGACTTGGTCTTACACGTCCACCCATTAATTCATCTACATCAACAGCATCCACACCTAGATGTGATTACTGTCTGGGTGATGATAATATGAATGCACGTATTGGTCATCCAGAATGTATGTTACAATGTTCTCGATGTGGACATAGTGCACATTACTCATGCCTACGTCTACCTCCGCATATAATTGATGCTGCAATGCGTTATCCCTGGCAGTGTATTGAGTGTAAAACATGTTGGTTATGTGATCAAGACGATCATGAGGTACGTATTTTATCTGAATGATATATCCTCGTATTCGTTTATGTTACCACTTTAAATTCTTCCTAAATGTCAGTCAAATTTCTGTGCTTCTTTATAACCGAGTGTTTCAATCATCGTAAGCAAAGATGGATAGTGGCTAGCAGTGGAATGGAGGACGCGCGTTTCGTCCTATTTGGGACTCGTCAGCTGGATGTACCTGCATCTCAGAGTTGATGTCCACTCAGGGACTCGAACCCAGTACCTTTTGCTTCAAACGCCATCTTGTTATCCACTGAGCTAATGAGTCCTGATAGCCACTTGCTTGTGCAATGGGATGAAGTTTAAATCCACTTAGTATTGTTTATTTGAATCTTCCCATTGATATTTTGGACTGCAATTAATCAGTCTCTAATTGGCATATGTGCATAATGTGCGTATTGACTCGATATAGCTTTATTTCACAAGCATGGTGAGCATGATGGATAGTGGCTAGCATTGGAATCCCGTTTGACCCGCGTTTCGTCCTATTTGGAATTCGCCAGCTGTATGTACTTGCATCTCCGAGTCGATGTTCACTCTTAAAGTTTCTTATCATAAACTGATTTCAACTAGACAACTATTATTTATTTATTTATTTAAACACAAAAATAATGGTACTAAGAAGCACCAGATAAATATGCGCCGCACAAATCTCATTCGATTTGTGTGAGGGCTGTGATGCTGCCCAGGTGCCTAAACTGAAGCAGGTGGTCTTCTTAGGGGCCCACACCCGGAGCCTTTGACCTGAAGGTCTAGTCCAGAAGGCAGTGGAACATCTTAAGGAGATGCATTCCCATGGTAGCCGGTGACCAACGATTGATTCGTACGCCATTTGTTCCTTCAGGATCCTGGAGCCCATGTCCACCATTGGTTTTGAATCAGGGTGTTTCAGCTCTTCTAGATGGACTCTCCATGTCCACCAACCCTGTTAAAGTGCCGGATATTCTCTTTTCGTCCTCTCAATTTCGTAAACAACACCCGCGCCACTGTGAGAAGGTAGTGAGTAGGACTTCCCTGGCAGAGGCTATAAGACAACTATTACATACTACGAAGTATAAGATATTTTATTTGTTCTAGTGTTAGACTCTTCATCACTGTCCATCCACGACAGCACTAGGGATCGAATTCAGAGTATTCAATTTTATCCGAGAACTCTCAATTCTCAGATCACTGAGTTGGAATCAAATGGTCTACAGTCTTAAGTTAATTTATAATTTTGCGAATTCCAGTGGATGATCACTAAGTATAGAAATGTAACCTATTAACCAGTTTTTCATATTCAGGGAAAAAGTTTTCTTTTCTGTGATCTATTTTACTCAAGATGTGCAGTTGTTTTCACTATTGATCTTACGTGTGATAGTCTATAATGAAACGGTGCGTTATGTCACATGACAAATGTATATAAAACAATCGAGTCTCGGAGTATCGAGTGATGACACAACACCGCATACAAAATCAGTTTATGTATACTATCGCACAGATTGAGTACACGATGTGGACTAAAAGAGAATTTTCTTTACTGAGTCATATTTCTTTTGTCTCATTAAACAATAAGTTTATTATCTTTATATTTAATCAAACAATCTGGCTACAAATGTCGTTTTGATTGATCCATTCACTGTACCTTCCTCACCATATATCTGTGAAGAACTTCACGACGCACTTTTGAAAAGTCTATGGTGATATTAGAATACGAATTAATATCACCGTGTGAATCAATCATTTTATGATCACTCTACATCAACTTCATTGACTACGAGAAAGCATTTGATAGTGTGGACAGCACAAAATTATGGAGTTATCTTCGATACAACAGCGTGCCTGAAAAGATAGTCAATATAATACGGAACTCCTATGATGGATTAAACTGCCAAATCGTTCATGGAGGACAACTCACCGACTCATTCGAGGTAAAGACCGATGTTAAGCAAGGTTGCTTACTCTCATCCTTTCCCTTTCTCCTGGTGACCGACTTGATTATGAAGATGTCAACATTTGGGGGGAGGTGTGGGATATAATAGACAGCTAGGATGCAGCTGAACGACCTAGACCTCGCACATGATCTGGTCCTTCTATCTCACATGCAACAACGAGTATAGGAAAAGACGACCAGTGTAGCAGCAGCCTCAGCAGCAGTAGGTCTCAACGTACATAAAGGGAAAAACAAGATTCTCCAATACAACACAATATGTATCAACCGAATCACACTTGACGGAGAAGCTTTGGAAGATGTGGAAATCTTTACATATCTGGGCAGCATCATTGATGAACACGGTGGATCAGATGCAGATGTGAGGGCGAGGATCGGCAAAGCAAGAGCAGCATACCTACAACTGAAAAACATCTGGAGCTCAAAACAATTGTCAACCAACACCAAGGTTAGAATTTTCAATACAAATGTGAAGACAGTTCTATTGTATGGGGTGGAGACGTGGAGAACTACGAAAGCCACTATCCAGAAAATATACATGTTTATTAACAGTTGTCTGCGCAAGATACTTCGGATCCATTGGCCAGACACAATCAGCAACAACCTACTGTTGGAGAGAACAGACCACATTCCAGTGGAGGAAAAAATCAGGAAGAAGCGCTAGAAGTGGATAGGACATACATTGAGGAAAGCAGCTGAATGCGTCACAAGGCAAACCCTCACATGGAATCCTGAAGGCGAAAGGAGAAGAGGAAGACCAAAGAACATATTACGCCGAGAAGTAGAGACAGACATGAGAAGAATGAACAAAAGTTGGAGAGAACTAGAATGGAAGGCTCAGGACAGTGTGGGTCGGGGAATGTTGGTCGGTGGCCTACGCTCCATTGGGTGTAACAGGCGTAAGTAAGTAAATATGAGTAAAATTTGAATAAAGATAGAATAAAAATTAAAGCGGAATAATACGAATTTCTGTTATTTTTCATAGTTCCACCTTAGTTGCTTAGATCTGTTTTTGTATGACATAAGTATTTAAATAATAGACATAAGTAATTGAATAATCATAATAGCAATGATATATTTATAGTGACTTTTTTTAAAAATCTTTTTCATATATTATAGGATCGAATGGTTTTTTGTTGGGAATGTGATCGTGTATTTCATACACATTGTATACCATCTCGATTACCTCGTTCCCTTGATGCCCATTGGACCTGTGATATTTGTATGCATGAAATGTATAATAATAATCATAATAATAAATCTATGTTTGATCAACGTACACATCCTAACTCTAGTTATGAATTCTATGCAAATAGTACTTGTAATACTACTAATAATGGTAGTAGTAGTAGTAGTAGTAATACTACTAGTAATAATAATAACACTAGGAATGATGATCATAATGATAATTTCAATTCAATGAATACTGGCAATGGTTATTATACAGCACATGTACAGCATCATCATACACAAAATACTGCTCGTTCATAATTATTGTTCTGTATAATTTGCTCATTTTTAAATTTTTATTATCAAATTAATTAATTATTAATTATGTAAGAGAAAAGGATCCATGAAGGTTCTACTTTTCTTTTAAAACTTCCCTTTAATGTACTATTTTTGTTGTGTTTTTATTCTTTGTTGTTGTACACTTCTTCTTCTCCACTTTTCTCCTTCCCTCTCTCTCTCTCTCCCTCCCTTCATCATTCATATTGATCACTAGACATAAACTACTCAAACTAATCTATATATACATATGTACTGGTATTATGAATATATATATATTGTGTATATCAGCTTCAATGTTTTACAGTGATATATATATATACACCTATATATATATTTAACAAGTGTGAAATTCTATTTATTTTATGCATTTTATACATGTGCATTATTATTGTAATTTCTTTTTTCAAAGAGAGAAATCAAATGTTTCACTTTCCCTATTCTACTTTTATTTACTTAATGTTCATTTCAATGGTTCTATTTAAAACTATACATTTATATGTATACTTGGCACCGGGACCAAGGTGATCATGAATAATACCTTGGCCATCAGATGAAGACTCACCATTACTTTCTCTGGCATGTTGAAGACTTCGATAATCCCTTATTTGGGCTCGCTCGGACGCGTATATAAATTATGTAATATGTATGTAGTTTGTTAATAATATTGTGATGAATACTTTTTAATTTTGTTTTATTACGTAACTATTCTTTGTGTTGTTAATTTTTTTTTTTTAAAAAAAAGGTTTAAACTGAATAAATTTACATGACTTACTACTACTAATACTACTGATTGGATGAAATTTACCAATTTTTTTTTCCTGTCTTCTTTTTCTTTTATAATTTTAATCCCATTATTATGATTATTACTTTTATTTAGGGATCAAATATTGTTGTTTTGTATGCTCAATTCATACAATGATTATTATAATGATCATACTATGATTGTTTACTTATTATTGATCAATCAGCATATATATATATACTACTTATTGAGTAGTAGTGCAATTCATTGTTAGGTTAAACTAAGTGTGATATAGATACTCAAACTGAATTAGTTTGTACAATGAATTTTAATGGATATTAATGACATTCTTTTAGTTAACTTTTGTTTGTTTTTGATTTCAATTACCATATGATGTGTTTACTTTAGTGATAATATAGTTATATATTTTGGATTCCTTTCTGTTCTTTGTGTTGCTTTTGATGTTGTCTGTCACAATAGTTCGATTATATTTTAATGATCATATTCTGTTTAGTTATTTCTAAAGTATAATAACTTGGACCGTTGCATAATTGTGCCCGATCCTACGTTGTAGCTGAATGTCTACTTATTTCTCACCTTCTTCTTTGTGTAGTATTGTTATTCATTTTCATCATTACTACTTACACTATTCATTTTGACCTTGTTTTCACTTCTCCTTCCTTTGGATATTTATGTTTTGTTTACATGAATTTATATGTAAATGTTATACTATTGTGGTAATATTATGAATCGTCAGGCGCCGTTCGTTATATATAAAACAGTTGAACACTTCACAAATATATATGCATATTCCACATAATAATATGCATGAAAATCAACGAATGGATCTTTATTTTGTTTGGTATTATTACTATGACAATTACTTCTTTGATGATTATTGTTTTTATCATATATATTCATTTCGAAAGAAAGCACAATAGAAATGTAATGTTCCCTTTTTGTTTGTTTCTTTTTCCGAAACTCCACTTTGATTTACAATAAAGAATTATTTGTTTTTTCTCGGTATTTTTTTTTTGAGGGAAGAAGTCTTAATTTGGAAAGTGTTTTGATGCTTATGAGTAAGTGGGTATTTTTGTTTGAACAGTGGTTACGGGGGCTATCCGACATGAAATTAATAACTTAAGCTAAGGGATATTTTTTTAACTGCGGTGATCGGACGATAACCGGTGCTTTCAACGTGGTATGGTCGCCGGCTAAATGGCTCCGTAAGAACTCGGAAGGATAGGGACACACGTCGTTGCCTTTTCGTCGTTTCTGCCTACGCTCCCACTGACTGCAGTCCGGATGAACTGAAAGATGACTTTTACAGAAAGCTCTCTGAGCTTCTTCAGAAGGCTAAGCGCTCAGACATAGTAGTCGTAGCGGGTGACTTTAATGCCTAATTAGGCACCTTAAATCAAACAGAACGACATTTAGGTGGGTATTTTAGTATTATGGCTCAACGAACCGATAATGGTAATCATCTGTTGCAACTATGCTCAGACAATCTTTTAGACTCTGATCACGCTTTAATACGAGCGCTCATTTGCCTGCACCTCAATGGACGTAGGAAAAGTACACTAAGAAGACCCATTACGGTTGAACTGGAGGACGGGAAAGCAAAATGCGAATTCCAGAAACAACTGAGTTCACATCTAGGCAGTTCTGTAAACAACTGACCCAAATGCTGCTTGGAAAGACACGAACAGCTGTGGAAACAGCAGTCACGTCTATTCATTATTTAAGCCATAGGGCTCCAGAAAACCAGTGGATTTCTTCTAAGTCTATTTCACTGATGGATTCGCGTAAACTCATCCCATCAGGCTCTGAACACGACGAAGAGCGTAAAGAAATTAGATCTAGGTTAAATAAAAAACTAAGGAACGATCGTGAGCAGTGGTGGGCAACGAAAGCAAAAGAGATGGAAAAGGCAGCGGCTGTAGGCAACACCAGACAACTATTCAGACTAATAAAAGAGACCGGAATTAAGAAGTCAAGTGTAAGTGAGACAATCTCCAAAAAAGATGGAACCCCTATCTACTCTCAGCCCAGACGTTTGGAACGATGGCGGAACACTTTAAGGAGCAGTTTAGCTGGCCTTCAGCTACTGCACAACTACCCACTATTCCCAGAAAACCTGAATGGAACATTGCAGTAGGCCCCCCGACCCTACTTGAAGTTCAAATGGCTATAAGTAATCTGAAACGAAGAAGAGCAGATGGTCCAGATGAATTGACTCCAGAGGTCTTTAAATATGGTGGTCCAATTTTAACGATTAGGTTGACTAATATTCTGGGAGACGGACGTAATCCCATCTAATTGGTCACAATCTCTGATTGTCCCAATATATCCCAAAATCATCCTGTGATAACCATAGAGGGATTAGTCTGACTAACATAACTAACAGTTCGCCCTGTTCTACTTTACGGCTGTTAAACATGGCCATTAAGAGTAGAAGATACTCGTAAGTTACTAGTATTTGACCACAGATGCCTTAGAAATATTGCTCGCATCTGTTGGGATCACCAAGTAAGTAATAGTGAGGTTAGACGAAGGTTATTAGGGAATGATGGTAAATCAGTTGATAAATCTTCATCGACTGAAATGGTTGGGCCACGTGTAACGTTTTCCTGAACATCGATTACCACAACGCGCAATGCTGACTAGTATTAGCAATGGTTAGAAGTTGGGGACGGCCAAACCAAAATGTGGCACCAGTCCACAAAGTCACTAACTTCTAGTCCGAGCCATGTTGGTAGATGCAGATTACTTGGTTGGGGTTCGCGTGACTGTCGTAGCCAATAGTTGGAGACTCTAGGTGACATGGCTCAGAATCGATTACAATGGCATGGGCGTATACCCTATTTATCTTCCCTTAAACCTTGAGATTAAAATTGCTTCATAACGTTCTTCCTTCCTATACTACATCCTTATATACAACCTATCTTTTATATACTACCACCACCAATAAATTAACTACTTCTGTGAATCCGGTGTTCATCTTGTTGTGCTAACGAGGTATGGGAACTTGGACAGATGCATAAATGTGCCTGATCCTACTTTGTAGCTGACTGACTGAAGTGATATTTTTTGAAATAGTCTTGGGATGGTTTAGTCGAACGGAACCCAACATTCCAAGGGCTATTGAAGGCGATCAGTAGAAGAGTGATAGCGTCAACAAGTCTACATTTACTCTTTGCCGACGAATATTAACCAAGGTTCAGGTCTTCGACGTCTAACCAAAATATATTGCGCATAATGTTGATGTGGCTTGTTACCATATTATAAATCGACCGGTAATCACCTGGTATTTTTCTATAGTATAATACTCGTAATTGCTGACCAATCGGATTTGTTTACGTCATACTATCACATTCTGACTGAACTTAAAATTAAGAACCGATCAGGTCTTCAAGTAGCTTAGTCTTATTAATCGCCAAAATGATCTTGGATTGGCTTGTTCAATTCGCGATATCCGTCAAATAAGACATCGCTTTTCACTTTAAATGAATCTCTTTCCGCATTGTATGTTTACATTAGTTGACTGGTGATAAGGCTGCGAGTCAAATTTTAACTTCATTGACCAGTCACTTCCGATTACGCTTGATCAAATATTTTGCTTGTTTCATACTGTTGAGATAATAACGACCTTATGATAACCAGTTTTTTTCGTCTGGTATCACTTCATTTGGGCTTTGCATCAATAATTTCATTTCGCAAGTGATTGTCAGTAGATCACAATAATCATATTAACCAAGAGAATCAATCACAATCCAACGTAAAAACCACATTACGATTACCTACTCAAACGTCCGGAGACTTATTCCCCGTATCTGCGGTGGATTCGAAGAATTCTTAGTATTGTATAAAAAGAAATAACTAAAGTAAAACTTGATCAACAGTAAATCTTCACATTGATTCATATTCATTGCAAAGTGATATAGACATTACGAAAGACAAATTCTACATGGTGTTTTCTCTCATGTCTTTTCATAGTCATTTTTTAAAAAGAATATTAAAACTGTGTGTTTAAAAATAATTATGATCAGTAAAGAATGATTGAGGTGTAACAAGATAATCAATATCACGCTCTATAAACACACACTCTAAAAGTAGAAATCGATAATATAAAGAAAACATTAGATAGATAGATATGTACAATATCATAAACAATAACTAAATATAATGAATAGGGCTACTACATAAACTCTCTTAACGGATCCCATCGTTCATCAGTTAGATCTTCATCTTCCTCTTCTTCATCATCATCTTCATCATTATCTAATTCACCGGAATCTTCACCAATTGATATATCAGAGACTGGACCTATTACATCTTCCGCATCTTCATCATCTGCACTAGATTGATTTATATCTTCTGGATTATCATCGGCACCGAATAGACATCGGGTTAAATTACCATGACCTCTTTGTTGATAAGCTATATTATTTTCATATTTACATGATTTATATCTATCACGTCGAGAATCATACATTATTTCTCGAGTACGTTCAGCATCAGCATAATCATAACCTTCTGGGCAAGTGTTCCACTCTTTATTTTCTACATCCTCTGTATCTTGTATCCACCAATTTATATTCGGTTCAGGATCAGAATGTATTGCTGGAGAGACAGATAAACGACTGAATTTATGATGGTGTGAACCAATAAGCCAACGTTTCTGACTTGAAAAACGATGTTTAGAAACTTTGTGAACGTGTTCGTCAGGACCCCAACCCTAAAAAAGGAACACATACATTTATTCTATAAAATGAATTTATATTGGAATGGAAATGTTAAAAAACATAAGATTGATTAGAGAAAAAAATACACTAGTGATTAGAAGACTAACAGTTTGACTAAATGTCACAGGCAGAAATGTCATATCTCATCCTGTCAAATAAGACTTGAAGTCTTAATATTTTAGAAGAGTTGATGATGTGATTTGGTAGCCAAGTACAAGTTCAGGAGCGACAGAACACTTTGAATAGCCCCACTGACTCACTGGAAATCGAAGCAAAATACGCAGACCTCCTTACAGATGATGCCACACCTACAATTGGAAAAATCAGCAAGGCCATCATACGATACAAGGATGGAAAACATGGGGTCCAGACAATATATTAACTGAAGTCAGATCTATGGGTAACTGCAAAGATGTTACTTTCTAATCAGAACGATTCGGGAGGAATATCGAGTGCCAATAGACTAAAAAAGGGATGCTTATTAAGATCTCGAAGAAAGGAGATCTTAGTGGGTGTGACAACTAAAGAGAAATCACACTACTGTCAGTACCACTTAAAGTTTCAACAGGATGTTGCTGAACCAAACAAGTAATTAAGTAGACACCCAACTTCGGGATCAAAATACTGGTTTTCTTAAGGATTGATCACGTACCGAACAAATCACCCCCGACCGTTGCTGCTACCTTGACGTGGTGGTCGGGCTTGCCTATCGTGATGATCCAATCGAGCTATGCTGGCTGGAACAATCGTTCCTCGAGGTCCTACCATGCCAGACAGGTCGATTGAAGAGCGGTGAGACTAAAAGCAGCAAACCCAAGGTCCGAAGGCGAAGTCGTACTGCTGACTGTACAGAGGTGTGAAAGCAGTAAGGTGTTTCCTTCAGACAACCAGCATGACAGCGATGCTGCCTTCCCACAAGGAGGGGTGGGGTTAGAAAAGGTCGGCCCTAAAAATGCACACCTCGCCTTATCCCACGGATATCCGTCTCCGGCGGTAAGGTTTTTTTTTGAAGAACGGAGCTAACACAAAAACTACCCACAAAAAGGTCGTGTGTGACCGACCTCAAACAGTTGTCCCTTGGGCACTGCGGTCACGCTCGCAGGTCATTAAGACCACTTCTAACCCAATTCCCTTTTCAGGTACCTCTGGAAGAATCCTTCCACGGTGTGGGCAACCGGGAAGTGATAACTGCCCTCATACCTCTAACAACACTCAAGACCACTGTATTCATAATCAATCTCCTTCTTCAATTCCTACTACCTTGACTTTCAACA